CCACCACCACCTTGTCCTGCTTCCTGGTCCCGCAGCTCCCCCTTTGGAGCCTGCTGCATCCGTGCCCCTGGAGATGCCAATCCGGGGAACTGGGAACACCTAATCAGGGCTCTCCCTGCAACAAGGGAATGGTGGTATCTCTGAGCACTGCCCACTTCTCTCTCCTCATCACCAAATGAGGGATGCCAACAGCAATGGGCTCAGACCCAGGTAGGCAATCAGGCTGTCCCTCACACTGGGAGTGCCACACACAGACAAGGCAGCTGGCCTTGGGCCACAGTCATGCAGGTGGGCAGGCTAGTACCCTCTGTTGGGTCAGCACCCGACCCCCACCTCCCAAGGACAGCCTGCAGAGGGTGGAGGAGGGATCAGAGAGTGACCACCTGGGGATCCAGGGAGTGGGGAGAACGCTGAACTGCTGGGTTAGTGGGGTGTCCACAGCCTCAGGAGTGGGGTTCTTTCCCGCTTCCCCTTGCATTACCATCTTGAATCTCTCCAGCTCCATCCTACTCGCTCTCACTGGCTCTCCCTTTTCCTCCCATAGCTTAAAGTAAAGTGTAATGAGCTGAAACCAAGACCATCCCAGTGCAGTCTGCCCCCACCCCCAACCAACCACAGCCCCTGGCCTCCCAACAGTGTCTCCGAGTGTGTTTCTCTTCTCTTCGGAGCAGGACTGGGCAGGGGTGGGGGCTCTGTGCAGTTCTCTGAGCCGCTCCCCACACCCCCATGTGTCCCGTTAGGAGGCCCCCCGGCGAGCCTGGAGACCCGACAATCAATAGCCCTCAAAGATGAAGACGCTAATAACTTTATCCCCTCTTGTCCTCTCACTCTTGCCTACATTAGCCGTGACCACAGGCCCCAGGCAGCTGGGCCCTGCAGCAGCCGGCCTGGAGCTGAGTAACCCCTTCAGATCCAGGGAGAGAACGTGAGGGCAGACTGCAGGCAGGACTTCCCGGCACTCAGGAAGGGAAGGCCACAGGGATTGGAGTTGGGAAGCCTTAGAACCTTTTTCCCCACCCCCACTTTAGTCCCGCTAGAGAGCTCACTGCAATAATCAGTTACTCAGAAGCACCCTACAGGATGCAGAAGGAGCTCCAGTCCCTGAGGACTGGTCGGAGGAGGTGAGCTAGGAGGAACATTCCTGTCCTGCCTGATGGTACAGGAGACTTCCTCCAGCCACAGGGCCTGTTGGGCAGTGCAGAGGCCTTGACCAGTGACGGCCAGTGGGCTTCCTAGGGAGCAAACAGTTCCTGCACTGCACGGCCCAGCAGGTCCTCTCCTTGGACCTGGCAGGAGACAAGGCGCTCCTCTCCCACAAGCACTATTCCCCCAGAGCAAACCCCCACTGCCTCTCCGGCCATTGCCAATTCCAGGGGCGACTAGGTGAGAAGAGGAAGAACAGAGAGGGGAGGAATGGAAAGAAATGGGATGAAACCGACCCGGGGTGAGGGCTTCAGGCCCTTTCAGGAGCGCTTTGCCCACAAACATGGTGAGGCGGGCTCTAGTGCCAGCCCTGCTCTGCAGAGGACTGCTCCAGGGTATAGAGACTGAGCAGCTTCCCCAGGGTTACACCGCCAGTCAGGGCAGGACCAGCCGCCAGTGTTCTAGCAGCTCAACTTCCACAGGTTAGCAGCTGGTGGGTTGATCGTCGGGGAGGAGGATGCTTGGGGACAGCATGGGTTCAGGGGCCTTGTGTTTGCACATCAGGGCGGAAGAGGGACTCTGTCCTGGCTTTCTCCCCTCACCCTGAGCATGCCGCTCGCTCTCGATGTCCACACTATTCCGTGCTTCCCCCTGCAGCCCCAGCCCCTGGCTCTGTCTGGTACTGCAAAGCTCTTCTCCCAACCCAACCTCACTGCCCATCTGAGCAGCAAGCCTCAAAGCTCCCCGCTAGGGCAAGTGGTGAACCCCGAGAGTCTGGGAGAGGCTAAGGCTTGGAGCTGTGGGGCTGCTTCCTGCGCCCCCTGCAAGGAGGGTGGAGCTGTCTTGTCTAGGGGGCAGGGTGTTAGCCACTGAGCGGGCTCAATGATAGGATCGCTGGATCCCAGCTTCCGGAGAAATATCCTGCACCCACATGTGCTGGGCAGCCTGTCCCAGCCGGGACCCACACAGCCCCAAGCCTGTAGGCATTCTCCACCAGGCCTTCCCAGTGCTGCGCCTGCATCACCATTCCTGGAAACCCAGAAAGATACTCGCCTCTCCTGTCAGCCACCGGGATCCTGAGATAGCAGGGCGGGAGGAGGCAGGGTGTGGCTGGCAGCTCCGAGTAGAGCAAGCAAGGCCTGCGGCTAGGACCCTGGGTTCCTTAACAAGCTCGCCCCAGCGCTGGCTTCCGCACCACCAGGCACTGCTGGGGCCTTCACCTGCTGCCGCGCGGCTCCTGGTTTGCTTCTCCAGCACCAGTGTCTTCCCAGGCGCCTGCCCATTGCTCTTTCTGAGCCCAACCCACACAGCCCTCTCTGAGAAGGCACGGCAAAGTGGCATCTGTGGGGGAGTCAGGTGTCCCATCACCACAACCTCTACATGCTGTCCTGGTCCCGGCCCCACCCCGTGGGGTCCTCAGAGCCCTATTTCATCCATCCCCCCACCCCAGCTGGCGCTCTGCCCCTGGGAGGCTTGTAGGGAGCAGGTCAGGGCCTGGGCACAGCCAGGAGGTAATTAACAGGGAGGGGGCGGGCCACAGCACTACTGATGGGATCCAAGTGTGGGAAGGGGGCGCTCGCGTCACTGAGTAGGCTAGTCACAAGAGAAGAGCAGGGGGAAGCGGAGAGGTTACCAGGCCACAAAACCAAAAATTCAGGTGCACAAATCCCCCTCACTGCCCCTCAGGACAAGCCTCCCCTTCACACCCCAGTTCAGAATGAAGGAGTGGGCATGCTGGGCTTCTGGCTGCAGATCCTCATTCCAGGTCCATGAGCACTTTTCAGGTCCCTCCCCCAGGCTCTTCCTGCTACAAACGGTGTTCTCAAAACCCCTCCTCTCAGCTGCACAGCTTTTCACCTTTGGCCGTGGTTTCTGAGCCCCTGCCGCCCTCATGCCCTTGACCTTACAAAGTTTCATATGCCCTGGCAGGTCCCTTCTGTTCCCTGACCACTCGCCCCTCTGCTCCGATGTCTGCCTCAATCCTGATGATCCCTGAGGGGTTCCTACAAGGGCCAAGGAGGTAAGGAAGGAGTATGAGGGTGTGGGTGAGTGGGAAAGCCCTGTAGAAGGACATTGTGACCCTAGAAGGTCAGCGAGCACAGGATTACAATTGATTGGATATCATTTGTATGAGAACAACTGAGTGGACAGCATTTGAATGTAACACTTGGTGGAATACACAAGACAAAAGGAGTTCCAAACAAGAGTATAGAAACAATTGATGTTCTGTTGAAAAGCTCAATACCTCCTCCCTTATCCTATATGACCCTTGGTCTGTAAAGTTTGATGCCACTAATAAACTTTGGTTATTGACCATCAGTCAATATATTGTCCATGCGTGTCATTACCGTCTCCATGCACCAAGTTGTTTACTGCAGGACAGCGGCAAAGCCCCCTCCGGGGGGTGTGAGGTTATCCTGGACACTCCCTGCTTCAGCTCACGTCCCACCTGTGTGTGCCGCAGCATTGTCCCCTGTGCCTCAATACGTCCATCTAGAGCTGCGTGCTGCTGCCTCCCCGCCCCCCCCATGTCTTTATCTTTGCATCTTTCTCTGTAGTTTCTGCTTAGGTTGCTGTGTCTGTAGGCCCTGCCCTTCTCCCTCTTGGCACCAGTGCCTGGGTTCACCTGTTGGATCTGAATCCCTCCCCCAATGCTACCTCCCTTACCATTTGCCCAGGTCCTTTCCTTTGTATCACTCCACCTGCTTTAAGTGCCACTCCTCACATGAGTGGCACAGCACCAGTCCCACCCACCCTAGGGCAGGAGAAGAGGGCCTATGAACTTGGCCCTTAGGGACCAGGTCCCTCTTCCTCCCCACCCCCATCAATCAGCCTGCAGCCTTAGGTCAAACCTCCATTAGCACTAACTAGCCTGGACAAGAGGCAGACACAGCAACGGGCTAGGCCTAGGGGTGATAAGACCCAGATTGAATCATGGAGGGGGAGCTGGACACCCAAGGACACAAAGCAGCCTGTGATTAGCCCTGAGGAGCCTGGGGAGCGTGCGTTATTGCAGGAGCTGGGCAGGTGATTGGAAGTGATGGGGCTGGCCAGGATGCAGGAGGCTACGACTGCCTGGCTCCAGCCTTGGAGTTGGGGAAGATGGAAGGAAGGTCCAGATCCCCTTACTGGAATGAGTGGAACTGAGCGGCTCTTACCAGCTTCTCTGCTGTCAGAGGCCAAAACCACCCAGTTAAGGCCGGAGGGGAAGGGAGACTCTTTGCTTGCTCCTTCAAGCCGAATGGGGCAGGAAGGCGGCTCCGGCCTTAGGAAAAAGCCCCCTTGCCTGGGACTCTCTGGCCTCCACGGCTCCTCTCAAAGCACCCACAGCCAAGAAGGACAGACAGGGAGGAACATGGGGTCCCTCGTCTTCCCCAGTCCTTCACCATCTCCTCCACATGCAGACATGCACACACATCTGTACACACACACACACACACACACACACAATCCACTTGTTTCAAGCAGTACTTTTTCTGTTTGGGGCACAGCTACACAAGCAAAACTCACTGCACCAGAGTGAATCTCAGCCTCCCACCCCCTTTTCCCCACAGGGTCAGCCATCCCGATCACGGATCAGGAAGAGACCCCAAGACCAGGACTCAAACCACAGGGTGGGAGCAGGCAGCTGTGGAAAGACTCCATAGAGCCCCAAGCCCTCCTCCCAGAACGACGCCAACCCAGGAACAGGCGCAAGACACAGCCAAAGGGGTAATAAATATAATTACTGCGCAGTACCTGGCTTGCCAGGAGACGCAGGGTGGTCTCTGCTCCCAGCCCCTGCCTGTCCCCTACCACATGCTGAGGGGGACTTGGATGCTTTGCTCCCCACCCTGGGGCCCACTGGGAGCTTGGGGAAGGATTGCTGAGGGCAGGCTCCAGGGGTCCTGGCTGTATCTGCTGCTGCTGGCTAGCCCAGGACATCCAGGTAGACGGGCGGGGCCTGGGCCAGGGCTTGCAGTCGGGCATGGACATCCTTGATGCTGTGGCGTTGCTGGGGCTCCCGCTGCCAGCAGCCCCGCATGATGGCGTAGACCTCGGGTGGGCAGGCACGCGGCCGTTCCAACTCCCTTCCCTGTGTGATGCACTCAATCGCCTGGGGGCCAGAGAGACAGAGGAGAACACAGTAGGTTGTGGGCAGGAAGAGCGAGGCCTTGTCCAGGCCCCCCAGAACTGGTCTGGGTCTCCTGGGTACTAATCTAGATGGGCACAGTGAATCCTTAGACTCCTTTCTGCCCTGACCCTGAGAAGTGGCAGGTTTTGGCTGGGGCAGTACAGCAGGTCTGCTAAACCCAGACCCTAAGAATTGCCAGGTGGGTTGAGGAAGGGCAGGACTCAAGCACATGCCAATCCCAGTGGTTTAGTGTAGGGGGGCAGGGGGGAGAAGAAGGGACAGGATGCTCTGCTCCTGAGGGAAAAGGGGAAACAGAGCCGGATGGCATTCCAAGGTCCTGGCAATGACTGGCTTGCAACTGAAAGCAGAAGGTCCTCCCCACTTCCTTCTCTACTTCGTGGGAACCGGTTAGAGGCGCCCTAGCTCCTCTGAAAAGAAGCTGCAGCAAGAAAGATCAAAGTCAGACTCCAGGAAGGACTGCTGGAGAAGCTGTGAGATCCAAAAAAGACAGAGGAAGGGGATGGCAGGGAGCAGGCAGAAGGGCCCCAGGGCCTCACCCCTCTCCAATTCCCACTCCCCCGCCCCTCCCCATTAGCGAACTTGGGCCGTGGGCAGCACTAATTCTATCCCTCCTCTCAGCGCTTGAGAAAATTAAAATCTATAACCCTCTCCCCCAGGCCGCCAGCCTCCAGGGAGCAGACTGCATTAGGAGGCAAGATGGAAACTGACAGCTGTGAGCCAGCGGGGGTGGGGCAGGGTGTGGAGGGACAGCTCTGGGAGACAGAACACCTGGGACCTGTTCTGGCTCTAGGCAGCCAGGAATGGGGGTGGGAGCAGGGCGGAGAACCTGGGCAGTCCTTCTGACAGTCTGACTTCCCACTTTCCCGCTACAGAGTCCCACTATGGAGGCAGATCCTCTCGTGCTGTGCTTCCTTCCATTCTGATCATGCCTACTGGATCTACAAAATCAGGGAGGGGTGGCGAGAGGGTGGGCTCCAGTTCCAGGGTGCTTTGAAGTTTCCACAGAAGCCGGTTAGATGCAAGCACAGCTCGGGAAGCAAAGGCAAGATGAGAGAGAGATGCAGAGGAAGAGGAGGGAGCACAGGGCCCTTAGCAGCGGCAGCAGGGCCACAGGCAGGGCCAGGGAAGGAGGCAGAGCTGGGGCAGGAGGCAGGGCCGGGGAAGGAGGCAGACAGGGCCCGGGCAGGAGGCAGACAGGGCCGGGGAAGGAGGCAGAGCTGGGGCAGGAGGCAGGGCCGGGGCAGGAGGCAGGGCCGGGGCAGGGCTGACCTCGGTGTTGGAGAGCTGATACCAGGGTTGCTTGCCATAGGTGAAGATCTCCCAGAGCACCACGCCGAAGCTCCACACATCGCTCTCGGTAGTGAACTTGCGATAGAGGATGCTCTCAGGCGGCATCCAGCGGATGGGCAGCATGGTGCGGCCTCCCACCTGTTGAGGGGGGCGTTCCGCGTCATCTCCAGGGAGCGCCCATCCCAGTCAGCCCTGAAGTCAGCCATAAACAGAGGAGGCCCCCCCCAGAGGGGAAAGGCCTGTGGTGCCCTTTCTGCCTGCTATAGCAGGCCTGAGTGGGAAGGCCAGAGATGGGAGGAAGGACTCAAAAACCCTGGGCCTGATGAAGATGAGAGGGTGGCTGGGATGTGGGGGGAGGTGGTGGGGATAAGAAAGCTTTTACCCGATAGTAGTCAGTGCTGTAGATATCTCTGCTCATGCCAAAATCGCCAATCTTGACCACGAGGCCCTGGCCTACCAGGCAGTTGCGTGTAGCCAGGTCCCGGTGCACAAAGTGCAGGCCTGCTAGGTACACCATCCCTGCAGCCACCTGGCTGGCCACAGCCAGCAACTGGCCCAGGCGCAGGGGCCCCGGGGCCACGTCCTCCCCACCAGCCAGCAGCTTGGCATCAGGCCCATGGGAGCTGAGGAGACAGGGAGAAAAAGGGCTAGGCTGGGAGCGCAGCATTGCCAGGAGACTGCAGCAAGGAAGCCCGCAAGCTGGGCATGGGCAGCCTGGGGCTATGGAAACAGAAAGGAAAGGATGGGGAAGGGGGAAGGGGGCCAGCTGTGTGCAGGGGTTGGGGTAGGGGCCAGAACAGGTGTGGTCCCATCAGGGTGTCCATAAAAACAGCCCAGATAGCCAATCTGTACCCAGCTCTTAGGAGTACCTGGATCCGCATCCTTGGCTACCCCTTGGCCATGGGCCTCACTGCAGCCTTGTCCTGGTCAAGCTGGGCTCCCTACAGAGAAGGGAGTCCTCCACCTCCACCTTGGACCTGAAGATGGACCGTCCTCCTCAATTGCCCTTCCCCCTATCCTCAGCATCCAGCCAATCCTCTGGGCTTGTCCTTCCTTCTGGAGGATTCCATGAAGCCCTTATCCTGCCCAAAGCCCCCGCTCCAGGTCAGTTCCTGCTTGCTCCCCAACAGTCCCTCTTCTGGACCTTGATCTGAGTTGGTCACTTGGTCAGCCCCACTGATTCCTTTCTCCTCCTTAACTTATCCCAGCTGTTGGTACAACTGCTCCAGGTGCCAGGCCCCAGAACTACAGTGAAAAATGTGATGCAGGTCAATGGGGGACAGCAGTGCAGGCTGAGGGTCACTGCCTGGACATTAGAGGCAGGGATAGGAGAAGTCAGGGGAGCCTTCCTGAAGGAAGTAACATCTACACAGAGACTCAAGTCCTTAGAAAGAGAGGCAAAGATGCCACTCAAAGAGGGGCTGAGCATGGGAACTGCCTGGGAGGGAGCCAAGGTGCCATGCCAAAAAAGGCCCAGAGGGAGCTAGACATAGGCAGCCCCTCTCAGGGATCCAGGGCTATCATGTCTCCCCTCTTTGCTTCTCCCAGTGCTCTAGCAGCATCTAAAGCAGCTCCTCCCACAGCCAGATCCCAGATAATGAGGTTCCCTCAAGCCCAGCACTGTGCACTGGCTCTCTCTGAGCCCAGGTTTTCTCTCTGCACCCCTTTTCCTTGGCCCCAGCGTCTGGCCTCTCATCCTCCCTCCTGCTCCCCCAGGCTGCAGGATGAACTCAGACTCAACAAGGTCCCCTAGCTGATTTGTCCAGCCTGACTAAGGGATTCATCACCCCCAGAAGCATATCTGGGGGTACATTGTGGCCCTCAACTGATTAACCACATGGCATTTTCTCCTCCACAACCACAGCCTCCCTATTGGCCCTACTTCTGATGGGCAAAGTGAGGCCAAAGAGGAAAGATACCAGGCCAAGCGGCTCAGCTGACAAGTGGCAGCTAATTTCAAAGCCCACTTGACTGCCTGCTTGCCTGCCCGCCACCGTCCACCCTCTCAGGGACAATCTCATCCAAGATGCACATGACATTAAAGTAGAGGCTGTGCCTGCGTCACACACACCCCACCACCACCAATAGGCCATCTACTACCTGTGTGTGCCCTTGGGGGAAAGTGACTTGACCCTCCTTGCTAAGTATTGCCTGTCAAAAACAGGTGCATTTCTGGAAATCACTAAAATTGCCAACACGGAGAACAAATGTATCCAAAGTATTTTGTCTAAAGCCACATAAATCAATTGCTGGTCACACTCTTAAAACTGCCATGTATGCTTGGAGACTATGAAAACGTAGGTCTCTATTCTTGTACACCATGCATGTACAAGTATCTAGAGTCAGAATGCGACTGAATGAGAAAGGACAGAACATACTGCCCAAGATCCAGACAGGAGTTGAGTGCTGCTGCTGTTGTTACCCTGTTGTTACCATGGTTGTTACCCTGTTACTGCGGTTGTCACCATTGCCTCCTCCCACCCCTTGGACTTGCTCGCAGGAGGCAGGACAAGGGTGAGCATGCTCAGAGCCTGGGCTCCCCGCGGACCCCATACCGGAGAAAGCGGTTGAGGTCCCCGTGCCGCATGTACTCAAAGACCATGAGCAGCGGACGACCCTCGGTACAGACGCCGAAAAAGCGCACGATGTGCTGGTGCTGCAGCATGGTGAGCAGCTCCGCTTCGCGCTGGAAGTCCTGCCGCGCACTCTCCGACACCTCCTTCAGCGCCTGCAAGACACGGGCGGGACTGAGCACCAACTTTGGCCTGCTGCTCCCCCGCCTCACACACATACACACTCCGCCCTGACCGAACACGGGCGGGACTGAGCACCAACTTTGGCCTGCTGCTCCCCCGCCTCACACACATACACACTCCGCCCTGACCGAACCAGGCCTCCAGGTCGCACCTTGACAGCCACTAGCGTCTTGTCCTGCTCGGGCAGCAGGTGATGGCACTCGGCCAAGAAGACCTTGCCGAAGGCGCCCTCGCCCAGCTCCCACTTGAGTACGATGTCCCGGCGTTTGATGTGATGTACACCTAAGGAAGGGGCTAGGGGAAGTAAGGTGGGTTCCTGGCTGAGGCTGGCAGGGGTGGGGAGATGAAGGCAGGACCTCAAAGGGAACCAAAATTCAAGCCTAAGCTCCACCACCAAGACCCTGGGGTGGTGCAGAGCTGCCTCCGCCCACAGTGTGGGTCAGGGGCAGCTGCGAGGGGCGCCTGCAGATAGAAGCAGGTGGAGCTCAGCCCAGGGAAGATACCACATTGCTGGGAAAGGGGGTGGGAGATGAGGCCTGGATCAAAAAGGGGCTGTGGTGCAGGGGTCTGTACTACACACACACATATACTTTCTGTCTCGCTCTCACTTTCTCTGCCCCCATCTTTGACCCGGAAGAGCCTCTCACAGGCATCACTGAAGTACTGTGGGTTCTCAATGATGTGGCCTTGGAGACCAGAGCCTTTGCCTTCAGTTGGTGATAGAGAGCTGCCATTCAAAGTCATGAAATGCAGGGACATGGCCAGCCCATCCTCTGGAGCCAACACCGCGGGGCCTGGGGAAGAGGCACAGTCATGTGGAGGCAACACAGCCCAGGCACACACACACACACACACACACAAACACACACACAATCTTGGCCCTTAGTTGCTCTTATTGGCAGGGCACTGGGCTACATCCTCACCTCCCAACTTGCCTGAGAGGGATGGGGGAGCTCAGAACCAAGGCAGCAGGCAAGGAGTGGGGGAAGGGAGGCATCACAGTTTTCTCTCTCTGGCTCCTGTCCAACCCCTGGCCCCATGGGCACCCAAGAACTGCCCCCCTCACCGCCCCCCTGCCACTGAGCCCAGACCTCCCAGACTCACTTAGTGCTTGACTACAATCCAACCACCAATTAGCAGCTGCTACTGATGAAACTGCAATGGCACCAGCCCCGACACACAAACACTCTCTCTCTCTCTCTCTCTCTCTCTCTCTCTCTCTCTCTCTCTCTCTCTCTCTCACACACACACACACACACACACACACACAGAGCCTTCCCCTCTACCCCAAAGATACTCATCACAGACACTGCAATGCCAGAGGCCTAGGCAGTAGGAAAGGAAGCAGGCCAGCCAGCCGGCCAGCCCTTGGCAGTAGCCCCCTGCCCACTCACGGTTGATCCCAAACTTGTTTCTCTGTCCGCACTTGTTGAGCACAAGCAGCAACGTAGAAAGGAAAAGGCAGGCAAAGACAGCCAAGCCCACAGCCATGGAGACCTGAGGGATCAAAGTGGGTGAGCTCCAGGGTGGCTCTGCACTCCAGGGTCCCTCACCCCACTGGTCCCGCTCCCAGCACACCCTTCTCCATCCTGCATAGGAACCCAGAGCCGGCCTGGGCCCACCCTGCCTCCACCTCCCCCGGGCACGTGGGCCTGGCTGTGAGGGTGGCCAGCAGAGTTCAGGCCAGGTCAGCGCTCTCCCTACTCTGACCAGAAGCAGCACACAGGTGCTCTGCACCTCCCCATCCCAAGCCCTAGGTCAGTTTCCAGCCCCACCCCACCCTGCCCCCCTGCTCACCCCAAAAGGCGTTTCATCTTTCTTCTCCACTGGGTCTCCAGAGGTGCTGTTAGCCTCTGTGGGGTCACAGGGAAGGAAAGAGTGTGCTTAGCGCATGCTGTGTCCCTTCCAATGACTCCCCATCCTGGCCCCAGGCAGCCTATCTCAGAGAACAGCTCAGTGGCAACCCCTGACCCAGCATCAGCTCCAGGGAACCACACAGAATTTGCCCCCAGCCTTGGCTACTCACCCACTGGCGAGAAGGAGACTGCAGCAGGAGGGAGGAGAGAGAGGAGTCAGAGGGAGGAGGCCAGCCATGAGTCCCCTGCCCCCTCCAAGACATATCCCTTCATGGGCTCAGTTGGATGGGGGGTGGGGCTGCTGACACTCAAGTGAGCAGGAGGTTCTCAGCCTACTAGGCTGTGGCTGCTTGGTATGTGGTTCTGTGTGGCGGTGGGGAGGGGGCACGAAGGCCAGTACAGGGCTGGACATGAGGGTTCCCAGGCTCCTTTCTGTCAGGGACCAGGCATTCCAACTTCCAGGGTCAGGGTCACAGCAGAAAGTAGACTAGGCCACCCTGAACACCTGGAGCTCCACCCCACAGAGGGTTCCTGGGAATGGGGTCAAGGGTCAGGATGAATCTCGCACCAGGGATGGGGTCCTCGGGGTTGAACTTAAAAGGGTTGTCCATGAAGGCAACTATGACGGAGGCGGCAGCCTGGCCGTAGGGGTTGACGGCCAGCAGTGTGTAGTTGCCGTTGTTGACGTGAGTGGGCTGGTTGAGGCGCAGGCAGCCGTGCCGCACAGTCTCATTGGCCGCTGGTTCCAGGAACTCAGTGAAGATGAAGCTGGTCTCATTGAGCACGGAGCCATTGAAGAACCATTGCAGGGAGGGTGCTGGCTGCCCATCCACGGAGAAGGGGATGCACCAGTGATGCAACTCCACTGCCGGGTGCAGCTGCACAACGGCTGGGACTGTGGGCAGAGGAGGTGCGGTGAGAAGCCGGGGACAGCCTGTTGAGTCCAGAGGCAGGTGGGCACAGAACTGGAAATCAGGGGCTGACTCCAGAGACAGGGGTAGGTAGGCCCTGAGAAACTCCCAAGGAGCAGATTTGGAAGAAGACTGACAGTAAATTTCAATAAATATCAGACAGCAAGAGGCTAAATTTCAGAGGCTTAAAGAACTGGCGTGGTGGATCTAAAACACAGACCAGCCCTCTAGAGAGGCAGAACACTAGCTAAGGCAGGTAAATGTAGGAACCAGAAGACTTAAGTGTAGTCATGCTTAAGAAGATGGACAAAGCCAAAGCCTTGGGATCCTTCATCCGCACAGGAGACCCGGAAGAGGCTCCAGGCTCCTGACTTCAGATCAGCTCAGCTCCAGTCGTTGAGGCCACTTGGGGAATGAACCATTGGACAGAAGGTCTTCCTCTCTATCTCTCCTCTTCTCTGTATATCTGTATATCTGACCTTTCAATAAAAATAAATCTTAAAAAAAAAAAAAAAAAGATGGTCAAGGGAGCCTAAGAACCAAGCAGGCAGGAGCCGACATTGTGGTGTAGCAAGTAAATTACCACCTGCAATGCTCGTATCCAACATCAGTACTAGTACCAGCTCCCTGCCCATGCACCTGGGAACACAGAGGAAGGTGGCCTAACTGCGTGGGCCCCTGCCACAAGTGCGGGAGACTAGAATGGCACTTCAGGCTCTTGGTTCCAGCCTGGCCTAGTGCTGTTTGTTATAGACATCTGGGGAGTGAACCAACAGATGGTACACCTTTCTCTCTCTCCCTCTTTCTGGAACTTTCTTTCTTTCTTTCCTTTTAAATTAATTAATTAATTAATTTCAGATTTATTTATTTTTATTGCAAAGTCAGATAAACAGAGAGGAGGAGAGATAGAGAGGAAGAGCTTCCATCCGATGATTCACTCCCCAAGTGACCACAACGACCAGTGCTGTGCCAATCCAAAGCCAGGAGCCTGGAACTTCCTCTGAGTCTCCCATGCAGGTGCAGGAACCCAAGGTTTTGGGCCGTCCTCAACTGCTTTCCCAGGCCACATGCAGGGAAGCTGGATGGGGAGGTGGAACTGCTGGGATTAGAACTGGCGTCCATATGGGATCGCTGTAACTCTGACTTTCAAAATAAAAAGCAAGCGCTCGGGCCTGGCGCGGTGGTGCAGTGGTTAAGGTCCTCGCTTTGCACGCCCGGGATCCCATATGGGCGCCAGTTCTATCCTGGCGGCCCGCTTCCATTCCAGCTCCCTGCCTGTGGCCCAAGAAAGCAGTCGAGGACGGCCCAAAGCTTTGGGACCCTGCACCCGCGTGGGAGACCTGGAAGAGGCTCCTGGCTTTGGATCGGCATAGCACCGGCCGTTGCGCTCACTTGGGGAGTGAATCATCGGACGGAAGATCTTCCTCTCTATCTCTCCTCTCTGTATATATCCGCCTTTCCAACAAAAATAAAAATAATAAAAATAAATCTTTTAAAAAAGTAAATCTTAAAAAAAAAAAAAAACAAGCAAATACTACACACACACAGAGTTTGAAAACATTTAGAGGGGCCAGTGCTGTGGTGTGACAGGTAAGAGTCTGTACTTGCAAATCCAGCATCCCATATGGACACTGGTCCTGGATGCTCCTTTTCCAATCAAGCTCCCTGCTAATATGCCTGGGAACACAAATGAAGGCAGCCTGAGTGCTTGGACCCCTACACCCACGTGGGAGAACTAGAAGAAACTCCTGACTCCTGGCTTTGGACCTGCCCAACTCTGGCCATTGTGGCCATTTAGGGAGTAAAATTCTCTCTCTCTCTCTCTCTCTCTCCCCCTCTCTCCCTCTCCCTCCCTCCCTCCTGCTCTGTAACTCTGCCTTTCAAATAACAAATAAAAAATTTTTTAAAACCCTTTTAGTTAAAAAAAAAAAAAGAGCAAAATAGACTCCATTTGGAAAAACCAAATCTCTCTCAATAATGGATAGCAAAGTATATAAACAAATGTGTGCTTAAGGCCTGGCATGATAGCCTAGTGGCTAAATCTTCACCTTGTATGCCCCAGGATCCCACATGGGCACTGGTTAATGTCCTGGCTGCTCCACTTCCCATCCAGCTCCCTGCTTGTGGCCTGGGAAAGCAGTCAAGGACAGCCCAAAGCCTTGGGATCCTGCACCCACACGGGAGACCCAGAAGAAACTCCTGGCTCCTGGGTTCTGGTTGGATTGGCTCAGCAATGGCTATTGCAGCCACTTTGGGAATGAACCAGCAGATGAAAGATCTTTCTGTCTCTCCTTCTCTCTGTAAATCTCTCTGTAAACCTTTCCAATAAAAATAAATAAATCTTTTTTAAAATAAAAAGTATGCATAGACTAAATTTATACTGGAATTCCAGGCAGCATTCCTACAATGGAATATTACTCAACAGTGAATCAACTGAGCAATGATTCTCATTAATATGGCTGAGTTTTACAAACACTAGTGATGGTGGTGCTCGCTGTAGATCATAGTGGATCTGAACGTATTCTATTGCCTGAATTTCTACCATGCCTTTCTGTATTCCCATCTGTACCAGGGAGGCTTCCCTGTGTACCCTCCCTCTATGACATTCATGTGAGAACAAAATCACCCAACAATGCATTTCTCTGATGGTGTTCCCCCACCCCACTGAGCAACGCTTGACTGTGTGCATGGTATAATGACATCCACAGAATGTACGAGAACAAAGCTAAGCTATATTGAGGCGGAAGCATCTGTGCGCAGGATTTGCTTGAAAGGCAAGAAAAATGGTCATCGCCCCATCCAGCTGAGGCTTGGGTGAAGGCTGGGCCAGTGACTGAGGGTGGGGATGGGGGGAGTCTCCTAAAGTGCTTGGCCAGGTCCTTATGGCTTTTAGGGCACATGTTCAAGGCACATTTTGAATATATTTCCCAACAAGGCAAGAAAAATGATTTAGAGTAGAAGATGGGAGATAATTTGCTGACAGACTTCTAGAAATTAGGCAGAGCCAAAAAAGGAACTCTGGAGAAGAATTTCCTCTTCTACAACTCAGGACCCGAGGAGGGGCTGGCACGGCAGGTTTGGGAGCAGTGGGAACTGCTGGGCAGCTGGCGCTTGGGGTCTCAGGTAGTGACATTTGGGCAGGGGGCCAGTAAGAAATCCATCTCATCCCTGTGGCCTTGATGAGCCCCCAGGACTTTCCCCAAAGGATCAGGTTTTCATGGGAATCTGAAAACAGCTGGAAGGGAGCAGCTGCGGGGATCCACATCTCACTGTTTTCCTCCAGGCCCCAACTCACACCCTACTGTGGGAGGAACAAGGGGGATGCAGGGATGCAGGGATGGCGGTGGGAACTCACACGAGACGTTGACCTGGACGGAGACCTCGGTCCGGCCCACGTCATTTTCTGCCCAGCAGGTCACATTCTTCCTATTCAGGTCACTAGTGACATTGACCAGAGTCAGCCTCAGGGTCGGCAGATCCTCCGATTTTTGGATCTGGAAAGAAGAAGGGACATCTGGAGGGAGCTGCATCAGGCTTGGGGCTGGAGGCAGAGGCTGGTAGTGGGGTGGGGGCTGAAGCTCCAGATGGAAAGGACATAGGGTGGGAGTAAGGGAGATGAGAGTGGTCAAGGGCTTTTCTCCTTCCGAGCTTGTCCACGCACTCTCTCTTGGGTCAAGTGATCTGAGGAAGTGAAATATGACCAGCGACCCCAACATCGGCACAAAACATTCTTATGTTGCACCTTGAACCTCCCCCGCAGGAGCAGCAAAACAGCTGAATCTATGGGGAAACCCAAGTACTAAACTCAAACACAGCTGCCAGCTAGAACCTGTCCAGCTATTTGAGTCTGACAAACTTAGTCCCAGCCCCAAGGAGCAGCAGCAGAGAGAGAAAGATGAAGCTGCTGATAGCAGGGCAGACGGTGCACCACTTCCTGGGGAGGCGGGGGGGTCAAAGGCCGCATGGCGGGACTCTGAGTCACAGTTGGAGCCTCCAGTCAGGTTCAGGCCCTCTTCCCAGGAACCACCATGAGTCACGGAGACCCTGTACCACCTAAGCCAATTCTCTTTTGGCTGAACCTTCTTCCAGGCATCCTGGTGTTTGATCTCCCTATAGTTCATCCCCTTAGTTTCTCTGAACAGGCCAGCCCGGGGTAGGGAGATGGGGTGTAGGGGTCAGCCTCTTTTCTTCTCTGCTTAACCCAGTTAGCATGTGGCTTGTCTAGAGGACATCTGTAGCAAACACAGGTGTTAGGAGACATGGAGAACTCCCCAAGAGAGCACATACCCTTGGAATTTCTTCTCCCACCCCCAGACAGAGAGTAGATCTGTGCATGGGATTGGACTCAGCCCTGTCTCCTTTCACTCCAAGTGGTCTTACCCCAGAAGGAGGAAGTACTGCTGCTCTGGGCTAGCCTGAATGTCTGGATCCCCAGGCTCACAGACCCCTGAGTACTTTCCTCTTTTCCATGACCCTGGGGTCCCCAGCAATTCTGGGGTTGGCTCTTCTCCAACACTGGGGGCTTCCAGACTGAACACCAGACTGAGGGTGAACCCTCAGTCCCACCAGCCCAAGTCCCTGTGTGTCTGCTTCTGCTATGCAGGTGGAGTCAGTATTCTCAGGGGTGCACAGCTTACTGTAGGCCTCTCTTGGCCTTGTGACACCTGGCTGCCTCAGGACAATGGGCAGGACCTAGGAAGGTGCTCAAAGTTGTCTCTGGGTCACAGAGGAAGAGGCCAGAGAATGCTCAAGGGCAGGCAGGACATCCAAAAGCCATCAGGGCCTCTTGGGTGCACAGATAAGAAAATCCAAGTGCAGGTAGATTGTTCTGTAATCAGTTCAAGAATTAATGAGCTACACCATTGGAACCAGACTTGTGCCTGTTTTGCTATGATGCTCAGCACACACCCAAGGATGCTGCTTCCAGAATCTTTAGGGGGAAAAAAACTTACAGTGGGTCTCAAGAATTTGCCCTGTGTGCAGGATCACAAATAAAGCTATTGGTCCCTGTCAGCTCCATCTCTCTCTCTCTCTCTCTCTCTTTCTCTCTCAGCCAGCCTAAGTCTTCCCACACAGGGACCTAGGCTCTGACACATCCTGCGGGGCCCTGCTAGCCGCAATGCCCACCCTAAGATGGCTGTGTGCCGTGGGCTTCCCCAGAGCCTGCATCTGAGGCCAGGGACCTCCCCGAATCCCAGCCCACTCCTCCATGTGGTCCCCCTCTCTCTCCCTCCATGCCCAGCAGCCCTTGCTCAAGCCTCCTCAGTGTTTAGAGTTGGGAGGCTGAGGGCTTCTCACCATCACCAGAGTTGACTCCTCCAGCTCCGTGAGGCTCCAGCCTGCCTGCTCCAGGCCCTGCCCTTCCACCTGGCACTGCAGCAGCACGCTGTCCCCTGCGTCCACCGAGGCATTGGGCATCTGCACCTTCAGCGTTGGCACACCTGACCCCCAAGATGCCCAAGAATTGTTAGAACTGGGAATGTCCCCGTAGCCCCATCTCCAATCATGCTCCTTTCCCCCACAATCTTCCTCAATGACTCTGAACCCCAACAATAGCCTGCAACAATCGCCTGTTAGTTTCCCTAAGCCTCCTTGCCACTTCCCCCAGTCCCCCAGTGCTTGCTCTACCCCACCCCCACCCCACGCAGGGCTCCTTTACACAACCTCCAGCACCTACCGCAGCTGGCGTTGGGCATGAGGGCCAGGGGCTCTGTCCCAGAACACCGCAGCTTCTGTTCCTGCACACCACCCAGTCCCTCCTCCTCCCAGCGTTGCAGCCAGCGCAGGGCACAGGAGCAATGCAAGGAGTTCCCTGCCAGGACCCTGGTGGGTGGACACCATGTCAGAGAACAGGCAGGAGTTGGGGCCAATGAGCCATTTAGAGGTAGGAGGGAGCTGCCGGGGTGCCAACGGTGACAGGTGGGGACATAGAGGCAGCACCCTTGGAGACCCAACAGCAAGATGCCATTAGAGGAAACAGCAAGCAGGATGTCAAGGATAGCAAATGTGGGGAGCAGGGAAATGCCTGGGACTCCCCCACTGGGCTCCTGAGAGTGATAAGCTAGGTAAGATTCTTTGCACCATGACAAGGGGGGACAGGTACCACCTTTGGAGGGTGCCCCCCGCCAAGCACCCTTGCTGTCCCACACATCCCGGGTGCATAGTGCCCGGGAGTGTGGGTTAGTGTGCATCTCTGAATGTCCAGACCGCCTGCAGGTCTGTTCTACAGAGGCCCCAAGTCCAGAACCAGCTCCCAGCCCCCTGTGTCCACAAATAACTGATCATGCAGGCCAGCCCCCTGCCTTAACCCACAGGCCCAGGACAGGAGCCCCTTAGTGGAAGAGAAGAATCGCAAGCATATACGGACCCTCAGACTCAGCTCTCAAACACGGGATCCCCGAAGAGATGTCCTGGCCTGTGCTGGCCCTGCACGCCAACACAGCATGTGGCCCAGAGACTCAGCACACGCAGGTGTGTAGAGGTACACCCTCGGGCACACTCATGCATACACACACACCCTTGTTGCTCGCACTCACAGTTCCTGTAAGGGAAGCCCCTGCACGGTTTTCCAGGAGAGAGACTCCAGAGCATTGAAGGAGAGGTTCCTGTGGGATTTGATAAGGACCCCTTGAGTGACCCGACCTCACCATGACCCGGCAGGAGGGGAGGAGCTGAGGAGACCTCCGCCAGCAGCTGGTTCCTCTTCCCTACCCGAGCCACCAGATCCAGCCCCGGGACAACAAGGGTTAACCCCACTTGACCCCCTCCTCAGACCCCTGAGAGGGGGATCTAAGGCAACAGCCGCTCCTCCCCCAGCCCCTTAGTCCCAGCTGGCAAAGTGCTGAGGCCACAGCTGGGGGAAGGGGCTCCATCTGCGCAGCCTACTCCAGCGAGCCCAGGAAGGGCCGGGGCTGGGGGTGGCCAGCCATTGAGGACAACACTCTGAGCAGCCTTCCCATGCCCCTTTTTACCTCTTCTCAGGACACAAGGACAGGCAGGAAAAGAACCTAGCCCCCAGCTGCCCAGTCCAAAAGACCAAGCAAGTAAGCCGAGTAAGGGGCCTGCTGCAGACCACCCAGGACACTGGCCCAGGAGACCCCAGTGATTAGGGCTTGCCCTACGATGGGCTACTGCATCTGGAACCAGGCTGCTGCCCCTAAGGAGTGCCTCAACCCTTCCCCTGGCCCATTTATCCCCAGATTTGCAGGGCTGGATGGGAACTGATGCACTCTCACTTTGGAGCAGGTGGCTCGTCCTGTCACAGCTGTGTGACTTTAGCCCAGAAACTCAACCTCTCTGAAGCTGAGAAGCCTCATCTACAGCCTGGAGCCACCAATGTTCCCTCTCGGAGCAGACTGATGAAGAAGGCTCCCTAAGACATTGTGTGACAAGGCCCTAAGTACACATCATTAACAGGAGCCCTGGTATACTGATGGCAATGTAGGGTCTTCCCTTACTTGCTGTTAAAATTGTGACACAACTCCAGGAATGGCCAGCCACACTTGTTCCATCTCTCTGCCTGCTCACAGTAGTGCCAGGGGAGATGACTTCCTTGGGAGAAGGCCAGACAGGCTGCCCATACTGTACCCATGTCTGTCACTCCCAGGATGGGTATGGGACCATGTGGATCTGCTCCTGTTCCATTTCTGGGCTACTCCAGGGATTGAGCTGAAGTTTTTCCTCTGGAGAGGGATAGAAGATGATGCTGCAGACAGAGTCTGGAAGTCTCGTTCTGCCCTTGCTCCCCTGGGACTGTCTGAACCCTGGACAGAGCCTGTTAGGCGCTTTGGAGAAGTGTCTCTTGGTGGAAATGAGACAACAAGGACTTCCAGCTGGTTTGGGGGGAAGGAGAAGGGAGGAGAAGCCAAGAACATAAAGGTCCCTGAAGCTGGTGAGAAGCCCCAGGGACTTCCCAGCTCGGGCGGAGGCCTGTCTTGGAACCAGAACCTGAGGGAATGCCAAGTGCACTATCAGCCCAAGTCTGGGTGCTGCCCCAGCCCCCACCCCCACAGCATGGGCCCCAGCCACTCACAGGCGACTCAGCCGGGGAGTGAAGTGAAAGGCATCTGGCGCCACGGATCGGAGGCCGCTGTTCACAATGGTGCTGAGGGGTACAGGAAGATCAGCCCTCCGGTCTCAGGCACCCGGCCCTTGGCTCTCTCTGTCCATCCCATCCCTGAATCCCTAAGGGCCAGCCTTGAACCCCCTCCCCTGCCTCTGCCCTTCAAGCCACAAGTTCTTAGGGGCCCCAGGACCCCGTGCCAAGCCCCCAGCCCACACACAGCCCTCCACCTCTCACAGGTTTCTCAGCTGCCCCAGGCCCCTCAGGTCACTGAGCGCCAGATGCTGCAGGTTCTGGTTTTCCATGTAGCTGTGGGGAGAGGAGAGGGTATCACAGGGGCAGGCCCGACCTTGAGTAACCATGTTCACCCTCCACCTCCTTCCCTCCCTCTCCATCACACGCATGTGCACACAGATTTGCACATACACATGGCCCCATTCACACACAGGCTTGCTTGTATGAACACAAAAGTATGGAAACATGTACTGGGACACATCCCCACAAGCCACACATGCATGCATGTGCAAGAACACACACATGTATGTGTGCACGCTCACACCCTCTACATAGAGTTGTGTAGACAGAACTCACATAGCCCTGCCACAGGCACCTACATTCACATGCATCGTAATTGCACACATGCACTCGCGAGTGGTGTGAGTGCGTGCTCAGCTGGGCATTCGGCTATCATCCCAGGTGTCCTCTGCATGCATTCAACAATGGGGGTCAGGCTGAAATGCCTGCTTCTACAAGTGGTTACACTCAACCCTGCCGCTGCCCCTCCCAGCCCAGAGAAGATCCTGAGGTCCTGCAAGTGTGCATTCCAACCATGTCTCCTCAGGCATCCCACCAAACATGCACATGTCGGTACACAAGTACACATGTGCACACATGTACCCGCACACTCCAGCATCACCACCCACTCAAAACCTCTAGTCTCCCCTCATACTCTAAGCATCTCTGCCTGTTGGGTAAAGCCAGCAAAGGAGCATGGAGTCTGTCAGCCTTGGACCCCTGGAGCCCCTCCCTGCCCCAGGAGGACTCCAGGAAGGAAGAGAAGGGAGGGGAGAGAATGGTGTCGGTGTGAACTGGCTGGCTTACACAGGGAGAGGGATGGGAAGGGAGGGCAGCAAAACAATGACAGCAAGCAGAGACAGTGAGAGACAGACTGATAGGAAGTGGCTGGCAGAGAGAGAGAGACAAGGAGAAAGATAAGGGCAGGGAAAGAGGCAGGCAGAGAAAGCAAGATATGGAGTCAGACAGAGAGCAACAGAAGCTGGCATGGGGTTGGGGTACAGATGCCCTGGGCACACCAGGCAGTTCCTGAGCACTCAGCTGCCCTGCAGCGACATGTCAGTGCGCCCATCACATGGCTACCTTGACTCACAGCCACTTCCCAGAACACTCCCACCCTGCCTCGCGCTTGGCCTGAGGGACCAAGGAGAGGAGCAGCTGGGGCCAGCTTTCTCCCCACCTCCCCCTCTCTCCTCCACCTCCAGCCCTGGTCCCAAACAGGACTGGCAGGAATCTTTCCTCCATCCCCTGAGGGCGTAGAGCCCCTGAGGGAGGGTGGGTCCTGTCCTGTCCATTCTCTGCAGTCTCTTCCCGGAGGGCTCCCAGGAGCTGTGAGGGGACCAGGGAGGTGCGGGTGCGGTGGCTGCTCTGTGTGTGCCGGCCATCTCAAGGCCACCTCCTTCATTTGGAGTCATAATCAATCTGTCTATTCGAGTCCATTATCTCCTCGTTAGCTCCTAGGGAGAGGGAGGAGGGAGGGGACTGCGCAAGCAGAGGGGAGGAGAGGGGCCACCCAGGAGGACCATCTCCGTTCTGCAGACTTTGTAGTTCCCAACCCGCCTGTCCTCCCGCTTGCTTCAGGCTGGAAAGGAACTGGGACATGAAAGCACCACCACTAGGCATCTCTGGGAGGCCCAGGGTGATGAGCGGATGGGGCCTGAGGGTGACAGCCTCCCATCAGCCCAAGCCCAGGCCAGCTCCTCTGCTCCTGTCTCCCAGGGCCATTAGAGAGAGCTATTGAGTACCTTCCCGTTAATTACCACCAGAGGAGTCGCCTGAGCAGCTCAGCACCGATTATTGCAGGCTGCACAGGGAACTTTCTCGCCTCGGATACCTTCCAGCCCATCGCTGCACAAGACCAGGGGTCCCTGCCTTGCCCCTCTCCCTTCTAAGCCCCAGACCACTGGAAGGAGGATTCTGTAGTAGCTCTTCTCTCCCAGAAGTCTTGCTGGCCCTTGCCAGTCACGGAGAAATGTTCGAGTATCTTCCAGCCGTGGCCATGTGATGCTTGATACCTCCAGGCCAATCATTACAGCATACTCCCAGCTGCTAAAACGTACTTGAGCTGCTGGACATTGCAGCAGTGCAAAATGGTGCAAATGCCCCCTGGCCTGGAGCATGTGGGTGATGACTGCAAGGGCCTGACTGTGCCTCAAGTGCACACAAGAAGGGAATGAAAATGGGGAGAAGTCAGGAGGAGGTCCCACATTTTCAACATCCAACCCAAGATGTCCTGGATTCAAGGGATGGTGGAGATTGGCAGAAGAGAACTCACCCACCAAGTTCCACCTGCTGCAGCTCAATTCCCAGTCCCAGGGGAAGCCCCTAGTTAGCCTGGGCATGCATGACAAGGGGATAGAAGGGTGGCTGTCAGGCCCCTGAGAAAGGAAAAAGGTGGCAAGGGTGTCTTGCTGCACAAGCCTTAGGGAAAATCCCCTCGCCTTCCGCGGAACCGAGCCTGGGCTCCTTGCTGAGCTCCAAAGAGCGACTGGGCTTCGTCAGATCAGGTCCAGGGCGATCCCGCTGCTCTCCACTCTGAAGCCAACGCCCCCGCCGCAGTAGCCTGTTAGTGGGGCTGACAGGAGCAGCAGCAGCGAAAGTGCGCGGGGGAGCTAGCCTCCCCACAGCATCTGTCCCGCTGAGCAGGCGGCGAGTCCGCGCCCTCGGGGCTCGACCTTGCCCGTCCTTCCCCGCGCTCTCCCGCGCCCACCGGACACTCACAGCTCCGTTAGATTCTCGACGCCCGGCAGGTGGCGGAGCCTATCCAGGGCTCCAGGCCGGGTGCAGCGCAACCCGGAGGGTCCGCGGGGGCAACAGACATCGGGGCAGGGCGCGGCGCCCGCGGATGCCAGCATCAGCCAAGCCAGCAGGCTGCCCGGCCCCGCTGCCCGGCGGTGCCAGCCGAGCTGCCAGCGCCGTCCGCCTCGCAGCATCGCGGCGGCGCCCGCCTCGCTCCGGCCCGGCCGCCGCCGTCTGTGAGCTCCCAGCTGCGGCTGCCGGGCCTCCCCGGACATGTGCGCTGGGCGGTGTTAAAGACCCAGCCGCCAGGAAAGGGCGGAGCCAGCGGCCCCCGCCCGGCCCCGCCCCAGCTCTTGGACACCCCCCCACCCCAGCACCACCCCTTCCCACCACTCGGTCGCCTCTGTTTTCAGGAGCCCCCACCCCCAAGTGCCTTGATCCCCTCCCTCCTCCCCCCTAGATCTGGGCGCCTCCGCGGAAGGTCTCAGAGGTGTCTGCTGGCCGTGGGGGAACTGGGAAGTTGATCCGTTATTTCTCCCAGCCTAAAGCAGCTGCGCGTCTACATTTGGGGGGCAGGGAGCGGAGATGACGGAGCCGGGGAAAGGTTGCCGTCCAGGTCCGCCTAGGCAGCCCCCGACTTTATCCACGTGCATGCCCGTGGGGGTGATGTCACTTGGGGTCAGTTAGGTGAAGCTTAGGAATAAAAGGAAGAGGATCCCCTAAAAATTAATAATAATAATAAATTTTAAAAGGAATGATCGGAGGAACTGAGGAGGAAAGCAGAAGGGACAGAGAAAGAAAGGGGGTCCCTTAGAAACAGCCACATGACGGATCTGGGGGACGAGACCCCGCCGTCCAGCAGAGGCCACAGGGTGGCGCCAGAAGCCTGCGCGCAAAGGTGTGAGCTGCGGACCTAGGTGGGGTGGCCGAGGTTGGCCGGGATGGGTGAGGGCGCGCGGTGCGCGCTGCGCGTCGGGTCCCAGAATCACCCCTCCACACCCGGCTGGTGTCCCCGCCGGGCAGGGCCAGGCTGAGAAGAGCTGGCATCGATCGCCGCCTTGACAAGAGCATCGATTTCTGCGCGAAGAAATTAATAGATCTCCTAGCTCTTCGGACGCGGGTGGGGTTGGGGACCCGCCGGCCCTGGGAGGAGGCGCACCTGGGAAAGTACCGGGATCCCCGGCACCCGGGACTTTGGCGACCTTTTGTGGCTGCAAGCGCTCGCGACTTCTCGAGCCGTGGGGAGGTGGGGTCCCCTCGGGAGAGGACAGGCCACAACAACGCAAGAGCCCCCAAGTCCCCGAGACAGGGGCGCGTAGATAGGCCAGGTGAGCAGCCATAATTCAGGAAGGCGACCAGAGCGGCAGGAGCCCGCGGGGCGATCTCTACTCTCAAAGGGAGCCTAGCCAGAACCCAAGGGACGTGGTGAGAACCAAGGCTAGCGCTAAGGGGGACTAGAAAGCTGCCAGGCCGACTGCGAGGGGTGAAGGACTTGAATATTCGGGAGACGCTATCTCGCCCCCGCCGGGTTTCTTCGCGTTCGCTCCACCGGCCGAAGCTGCCAGAAGTAAGCCCGTAGGTGCCGGGGCAATGGGCTGCAGAATCCAGAGCCGCTTCGGCTCCACGGAAGATGCGAGCGGGGGCGCGTGGTATGGATGGAAGTGGACCCACGACAGCCGCGGCGGGAGTGGGGAGTTCGGTTCTCAGCTTCTCCTCCCCACCCCACCCCCCATCACCTCTCGCGTATTTCCCCCAACAGACCTGTCCCCACCTTCAGTTGTCAGGCTAAATATTTTGGCTTGCCGGGAGAGGCGGAGAGAGCGAAGAAGCCCCAGCAAGCCAATCAGTCTCAGCCTGGGGGCGGGCAAGGTGCGAGCTGGGCGCGGTCCCCTCGTGCCCGCCCCGGGAGACGCCGCCGAGCGCCCTGGCAGCCGGCGCTCGCCAGCCGAGCGCGCCCCGTGGGCTCCGGGGAGTCTCCCCGCGTTCCCCGTGCCCCGGGGCTCCTCTCGGGCACTCCTCCTTCTGAGAGCACGCCCAGGGCTTCTTTCTGCGCCGCCATTGGTGTTGGTGGGCCGCTCTGTGGGCCTTTGAGCGCTGTATCACTTCTCTTGCTCTGGGGGCCCTACCGCTGTGCGCATCTCTGTTCCTTCCCCCTTCCCTCCGCCATTCACACCTAGTGTCTGCCTCGGGTTTCTTTTCTCTTGCTCCTGCTCTCTTTGTGTGGCTTTCCTTGTCCTAGCTCCCGCCAGCCTGCCTCCCCGCCGCCCGGGTCTGTGTCCCTTAGGAACTGTCAGGCCCTTTCTCTCTCCGGAGCCACCTGGAGGACCGCCAGGAATTGGACGCCAGCCAGGCGGGGGACGATGGCAGTACTCAGCCTGTGGCCCTGGGGAGCCTGCATGCTTGGGATCCTTCTCTCCTGGGGACTTGGCCTGGACACTTTGGAGGGTGAGTCCCCAGCCCTGTCTGCCTTCCAGCCAGCCCAGAGTGAAGTCCACTACCCTGTCCTGCAACATGAAGGAAAATCGGGGTTAGAAGGACTCTTGAGCCCACCCTCTCTAGCCCTGGCAGGGAACAGCTGGTCAACCTGCACATGCAGGTGCTTTTCTCTCACCTCCTGTGGAGGTAGGGACTTCAGCTGGTCTCCTCCATACCACCTCTCCTTTTGCACGAGGTTGTGGGCAAGTTAGAGGTCATTGCTATGGCTGCTGAATGGGAAGGGGTGGGTTGAGGCAGGTGGCTGAGCACTGCGCACCATGAAGTAGCTGAATCCATTGTTTGCGCAGGAAACTGATGCTCAAAGGAGGCAGGTAAAGTGGAGGATACAGCATCTGTTCTCCTGCCTAGGAGATCTGCCCCCATGTGCCCCACCTTCAACATCATGGCTGCTGGCTGGGGTGTGTGTGCTGGTGTTGGGGGAGGATGGCTGTCTCTTAGTTCCCCATCTGTTGATGCCACACTTGAGTAGGATTTGGGGCTTGCGGGTGGGGCTGTGTAGATGTAAGGAGACTCGTGGGGTCTCTGGCCACTTGGCTAGGAAAAGAAAAAAAAAACTGAAGATGGAATATTCAAAGGGAGAGCAGGAAGAGGGGCCCCCTCCCCAACTCCACCATTCCCTGCTGCACTGAGGACTCTGCTCGCCAGGACTCTGCTCTATGCCTCTCTGACTGGGGGCTTTCAAGGACAGGGCAGTCCCCCTTCCTATAGAGACAGAGGAGAGGTACAGATGGGGGAAATTAGGGTGACCCCTCACTGGTGCTATTCACAAGAGCTCTGCCTGCAAGACATAGCACCCCTTTCCAACACACACTTACACAAATGCATCCCTTCCTTCGCTCTGCCAACACAGGGCCCAGCAGATGCCACTGGAAACGGTGTTGTCAGGAAAGAAGCCAGGCCCCGGGGTGGGGATGGAGGATTTGTATTTGGTCAGGGAATCCAGGTGTCACTTTTCCAGTGCAGCTCTGCCCAGAGCCAGGTCCTGAGGAAGGCAGGGGTTAATCTGCAAAAGTCTTAGATTTGTTTTTCCAAATGACTCCCATCAGGGGAGCCCTAGAGAGGCATGGGCTTGATGGGAAGTGGGCGCCTGAGAGAACCCCCCATCTGCCTGACAGAGCCTGATTGGTCTGGTGTGGAGGGCACTGAAGTGTTTTTTTCTTTCTCCCTTTTTTTTTTTTTTGCGTGTGTGTGTCTTGGTGGGCACGCATGCACGCACACATACACAGCTGCTGGGCAGGGCCAAGCTCCCAATGATGATTGACAAGTGGGGAAGGTGTGACATGAGCCCTGGAGAGCTAGCTTTGCCTGGCCAGACCCCTGTAAGAAGCCATCAGGAGCTGCCCTGCTCTGAGATGTTAGAATGCTGAGTGGTGGAATAAGAGGGAGTGGAGGCTGGCAGGAAGTTAGCAGACGCCAAGAGTTGAATTTTAAGCCGGGGGAGCCATGGACGATTCCCCTCAGAAGCTAGTGTGTCCAGGATCCCGCCCCCTTCAATGCCTAGGGGTTCCAGCACTGAACTAGGTATGGTGTGGAGCTCTGCAGAGCACCTCCCCCCCCCGCCCACCTTCCTGGGATGGGATGTCACAGATGTAGACTTCCGTGTTGGGGCAGCATCCCAGTAGTCTTGGTGTCAGTACTGGGCTAAGGAAAACCAAGACTGAAGGAGAAGCGATGAACTCAGTATCCGGGGGAAGAAGTGTGACCCGAGGATTGGCAAGATGAGGGCTGAGGGAGTCTTTGTGAATGGGCACCAGTTGGTCTGTGCCCAGAAATGTCTGGCTGAAGGATGGCGGCTACGAACAGCTGTGAAATCCCCTTTTACAGAGCAAACAGATGAAGGGAGACCAGGAATCCAGCTCCCTTAGGCCTGGGAGGGAAGTAGGTTGTGTGAAGCTCAGATCACAGCCACCATTATGGAGTTCATTTGTTCATTCAATACTTATCAAGTGCCAGGTGTTTTTTTTTTTTTTAAGCTTTATTTGTTTTTATTGGAAAATCAGATTTACAGAGAGAAGGAGAGACAAGAGAAAGATCTTCCATCAGCTGGTTTACTTCCCAAGGACTGCCATGGCTGGAGCTGAGCTAATCTGAAGCCAGGAGTCCAGAGCTTCTTCTGGGTCTCCCACGTGGGTGTGGGGTGCCAAGGCTTTGGGCTGTCATCTGCTACTTTCCCAGGCCACAAGCAGGGAGCTGGAAGTGGAGCAGCCAGGATACGAACTGGTGCTCACATGGGATCCCAGCACATGCAAGGCAAGAACTTTAGCCACTAGGCTACTGCTCTGGGTACCAGTTTTATACTAGGTGCCATATTGGGCAGCAAGATACAGAAATGGATTATACGAGATTCCTGCTTCTATAGATTTTACCCTCAACAGAATAAACCAGGTGAATTCTGTATCAGCCCAGGCTAAGAATTATAGAGAAAATAAAGTAGGCATTCTAAGTCGGGTGATCAGAGGAGGCCTCATGAGCAAGCAACATTCGAGCACAGACTTGTGAGGGTGGCAAGGGTGCCATGTAGACGGAGGGATGTTCCAGACAGCAGGAACAGAGTACAGAGACCCTGAGGCACAAGCCTGGCTGGTTGGTTTAAAGGACAGCACAAAATCTAGACAGCTGAAGAAGGGAAAAAGGGATGCAATTACAGTGGTGCCAAGGGCTGAAACTGCAGGGCCTCCTGGCTGGGCTCAAGGCTTCA